TGCCACCCTAAGATAGACCCAGAGGGCTTCTCCGGCGAGTCAACGGCTGTTTCTTCCTTCCCTCGGCGGCTGCTTCCTTCATGCGAAAATCAAGTGATCCAAATATTATGTTCAGACGACTTACGAAGTAGCTAAAATGATTGACATCAAAAGAAACCATCATAGCCTTGGCAGCGGCGACCCTGGAAGGAAACTCAATAGAACACAAGAACAACAAAGGCAACAGCTCTTCGTGAGGAAGAAGCAGGGCAGGACAGACGAGGAAGCTGCTGAAAGTGAGGGTGCGCAATTAAAAACAGCACGACTATGGATTAGCCCATCCGTTCATTTACCCAGGACACATCCGTTATTCTATATAATCCGGATAAAACAGTTGACCTCATTTGCCTCCATCACAAGGTCCTGCCTTGGACGACAAGAACATAACAACTTGCCATGTGTGATGATGGGGCATGGCCAGACTCATCTTTGGAATATTTAAAAGTGTTAAACCAACCATCTTCTTCAGGTATAGAGTATGGGTTGGACAGTGCAACTTGAATCTGCCTCCAAGGCGCGTATATATAAACCAAGAGGACACTCCATCAAAATATTCACAGTTCAACAGTAAAGCCAAGATAAAAAGTCAGAATCAATGGAGTTCCCCTCTTCTTCTTCCCTGCTACTCATCCTGCTTCCTCCCGTGCTGTACATCTCCTACCACATCGCGAGGAGCCTCGCCAAGAAGAAGCCCACCACCCACGGCCTCAGGAGGCACCCGCTGCTCGGCCACCTCCCGGCGTTCCTCAAGAACCGCGACCGCTTCCTCGAGTGGTCCACCGAGCTCATCGTCGCCAGCCCCGACCTCAGGATGGGCTTCTGGATCCCCGGGATGACCACCGGCATCGTCACCGGCAACCCGGCCGACGTCGAGCACATCCTGCGCACCAACTTCGCCAACTACCCCAAGGGCGAGCGCGCCATCTCCATGCTGGTGGACTTCCTCGGCCACGGCCTCTTCAACTCCGACGGGGAGCAGTGGCTGTGGCAGCGCAAGAACGCCAGCCTCGAGTTCACCACGCGCTCGCTCCGCGGCTTCCTCGTCGACTCCGTGCAGGCCGAGGTCGGGAACAGGCTGCTCCCGCTACTGCGACGCGCCGCGGATGGCGCCGGCGCCGGCGGCGTGGTGCTCGACATGCAGGACGTGCTCGAGCGGTTCGCGTTCGACACCATCTGCATGGTCTCGTTCGGGCACGACCCGTGCTGCCTCGCCGACGGCGGGGCCCTGACGGAGGGGGCGTCGGACTTCATGCGCGCGTTCGGCGAGGCGCAGGACCTCATTGTCAGCCGGTTCCTGGACCCCGTCGCGGCCTCCTGGAAGGTCAAGAGGTGGCTCAACGTCGGCAAAGAGCGCCGCCTAAAGAAGGCCATCGCCGACGTCCATGGGTTCGCCATGGAAATTGTCCGCACCCGCCGTCAAAGCGCGTCTGGGGAAGAAAACAGAGACGACGTCCTGTCAAGGTTCGTGGCGAGCGACGAACACGACGACGAGGCGCTCCGGGACATCGTCCTCAGCTTCCTGATCGCCGGCCGCGAGACCACGTCCTCGGCGCTCACGTGGTTCTTCTGGCTCGTGTCGTCCCGGCCGGACGTCGTGGCGCGCATCGCCGACGAGGTCCGCTCGGTCCGGTCCATGGCAGGCACTCGCCCCGGCGACCCGTTCACGTTCGACGCGCTCCGGGACATGCAGTACCTGCACGCCGCGCTCACCGAGTCGATGCGGCTCTACCCGCCGGTGCCCATCGACTCCCAGTCAAGCGCGGCGGACGACACGCTCCCCGACGGCACGCACATTGGCGCCGGCTGGAACATCACGTACAGCGCGTACGCCATGGCGCGGCTCGCGGCTATATGGGGCAAGGACTGCGCCGAGTTCAAGCCGGAGCGGTGGCTCGGCGACGATGGCGCGTTCCGACCGGAGAGCCCGTTCCGGTACACGGTGTTCCATGCCGGGCCGAGGACGTGCCTCGGGAAGGAGATGGCTTACGTGCAGATGAAGTCGATCGCTGCCAGTGTGCTCGAAGAATTCGCGGTGGACGTCGTCCGCAAGAACGCCGGCAGCGGCGTGCCGGAGCACGTGCTTTCGGTGACGCTCAGGATGAAGGGCGGATTCCCTGTGCAAATAAGGAGGGTGGAAGCGTAGGACGAGCAAGTTGGTGCTGGATCTTCAGAGCAGTGGCAATGGCCAGTGGGCTATTAACAATAATGTCTGTAATTTTACTTCAAAAAATCGTCTGTAATTTGATTCTTGTGTACATTTTCCTATTCAGAATAAAGGGATGCTCCAGTTTGGCCGTGTTCATAATAGCTGGTCAATCAAATCAGCGATCCAAGAACTTTTTACACAATTAACAATAAATCAATCAGTACTCCTACATGCACAGCAAAGATGAAACATGTTTTAATTGGTCATTAGTTTCAGATGAATAGTACTTCGCAGGAGTGATTATATATGTCTACATTAGTTTTTTATTTACACGTATCGGGCTTTCACTAGTCGCTAGTGATGATACAGCATTCGAACAGTCGATTAGCGGTTAACATGTGTTGCCTTCTGTTATTCCGGCCATTACTATGCTCTAAACTCTAAAGTGCTACAAATCCTTGAAATGACCAACCTAGATGTCTCATAGAATTGTCATCAATCAATAGTTTTTCAGGTACCAATCAGAACTTTTCGGTCTCTAGGCCAGAGAAAGAGCACCAGGCCTCAGCAGATCAGGAACACACCTGATACCCTTGCAACTCGCAACTTGCAAGTTTTAGTTTTTTTTTACCTGTGAACTTTCAGTTAAATTAGCTGTTTGGTTTTCTGTTCCTTGCTAGAATTGGTCTAACGAAAAATATTGCTCTCATCAGTCTCCGTTAGCTCAGTGGAAGAAATCCAAGTTCTGCCTTGCAACTTAGTAGGCTCATGGAAGACCACTCAATATTCTGATATTGCCGCTGTTACTGCTAAGTGTTTGTGGCTTTGTACACACCAAATTCCAACAGCCAAAGCAGTTCCATAGAGCTCCTTCCAATATCAATAGATATATCACAAAAACCATGCCCTGTAAACCCTGAGTGTGTGCTCTACCAATTGATTCACAGTTCATTCACCTGCTTAATTGCACAAGCACTTGTTGAGAATCCACCTTACCAGACAATTAAAGTCACATCAGATGCCTATTCGAAGTTTTTTTTTCTTGATCAAGAGCAATCACTCGGTGATATTTATAAGGAGATCCACTCCCCTTCTGGATGTGAATGTGAAATCGGCATCTTCCTGTCCTGACCTGACCAAAATGCAAAATGTGATCCCAAGATTAGTACAGTAGAACGTATGGAGAGCCAGCTTTTAGCAAATTAACAATGTGTTCTGAGGGTGGTATTATTAGCAGTTTTGCATGTCCAGTATTAAAATTCTAAACTTATATTGTCATGCTCTCATGGAATGTCAGCAAGCCAGAAAGAATTTGTCACAGGAGATTCAAGCAAGGTCTATTCTCATATATTAATATGATATCAAGATTATTACCTTCAGGGAGACCATTTCTACTGGAGATCTATCACGCATTACCAGTGCTGGCAGAAAGTCCTGTAGATATGGTATTACAAACCATTCTACTCTTAGTCTTCACTTGCTGATAAGTGTTATCCGTCATTTGCAAGTGCCAGGAACAATATCAGGAACACTTAAATTTATGCTCCATTTGTTTTAAGGATCCACATTCTTCAAGATATAACTGCAGAGCACTAGAGACTTCACAACCAACTGACTTTGCTACATATTGATCAAATAGTATTATGTACCTAGAGGCTATCTGAAGTTGATCTGGCTGAAAGTCATTAGGTAGGATGCTCCTCCAATCCCTTGATTTGCCAACAGAACAAAATCCATAAAGAAGTGCAATGAAAGTGACAGAGTCCGGTGAGTACCCTTTGTTAGCCATCTTATTTATTATGTCCAATGCGTTACCAAGCATATTGTGTCTGCATAGGCCGAAGATAATAGCATTGTATGCTGCATTCCTTGGATCCCATTTGCCATTAACCAAACCCCTGAATATGTCCAAAAGAGCACCCTTGTCATGCATCTTAGCAGTACCACTGCAGTTTGAACTGACGATACAAGCCATACAGTTAGTGAGACCAGTAACTAAACAATGCAACGTAATATCACTAGGAGCACAACGATTAATCAGCATGTGTTCGAAATATGCAGCAGCTTTCATCGCTTTATCTTTTTTAAACAGGCTACCAATTAAAATGGTATAAGTTATCACATTGGGGAATAGACCTTCAAGTTGCATGTTTGCGAATATATCTTCTGCAGTATCTGTATCACCTAGCTTGCAGTATCCATTTATTAACGATGAGTATGTAACAACATTTGGTTGGCATCTCCTTTTCGTCATTTCGCACAGTAACCTTAGAGCTCCACCCATATTGCCTTGTTTAACATAGCCAGTGATAAGAGTGGAATATGTAAACTCATCTGGGATACACCTCACCTTTCTCATGTTGTTCATGCATACAATTGCCTCATCCAGCATTCCAAACTGACAGTATCCTTTTATCATAGCATTATAGCCTACAACATCAAGGCGGACACCCTTTTGTTCCATGAATTCGAATACTTTCCTTGCCTCATCAAGACTCTCGTTCCTAATGAACCCATCAATCAATGTGGTGTAAACAAATTTATCAGGGTGGACATTTTGCTCGAGCATCTCTGCTAGAAGGTTTCTAGCTGCAGGAAGCATATGTTTCTTGCATAGCCCACTAATCAGCACATTATATATGTTAGCATCAGGGAGAAGCTGTCTCGCTGTCATCTTCTCCCGGACAAGCAATGCCTCACTGACTTGCCCAGCAACAACAAGACCATGAATCAGGGCTCCAAATGTGACCACATCAGGAGTATACCCTCTTTCCATCATTTCCACAAGCAAATTGGATGCATCCATCACTTGTCCTCTAATGCAGAAGCCATGAATCAATGAAGTATAACTGAATAGATTTGGGTTTACCTCCCTCCTAATGGCCTCCCTCAACAGACGCTCAGCCTCTTGAACACGCCCTTCCCTGCAGAGCCCAGATATCAAAGTACTAAAAGTAACGACATCAGGGTCACAGCCACTTGCAAAAATCTGCTTCAAGACTACCATTGCCTGTGGTGCAGACCGGCATTTGCACAAAGCATCGATGACACTGTTATAAATCTCAATGTTGGGGGACAGTCTCCTTTCCCGCATCTCTGACAGCAAATAGGTAACCTTCTCAAGATCACCCTTCCTCCCGAGCCAGCTCATAAGAGTTCCATATGTTACCACAGTTGGCAATACCCCCTTCATCTCCATCTCACCCAAGAGCAACAGTCCCCTACCCATGCCGCCGCGTCGACAATAACCATCGATCAAGACATTATAGAACACAGAATTTGGCACGCACCCTGCTCCCCACCTCGCCTCAATCAACTTCACGCCCTTCTCGACCAGCCCTTCCAAGCAAAGGCCCCGGACCATCACACATGTGCTGTAATCATCCGCGCCACCTTCCTTAGCAAGCATTTCGTCATACAACTTGTGGGCGTCGTCCCACTGCCGCCTCTCCACGAGGAGTCTGAGCAGGCAGTTGCTGTGGATCGCCGCAGGGAGCATTCCATATTGCGCCCTGACGCGCTCGCACATATCGGTGGCCTTCGTTTCGATCCCGGCGTCGGCGTAGGCAGCCACAAGCTCGCCGAGGCAAGCATACGTGGGCGCGACGCCCGCGCGAGACATGTCCTGGAGCGTGCAGTCGACGGCGTCGAAGCGGCCGGAGCGGGCGAGGAGGCGGAGGAGGGCGGAATGCGCGATAGGCGTGGGCGGCGGGAGTTTGTCGGCGTCATGGTGGCGGCTGCCGGAGTGGGAGCGGGACCAGGAGAGGAGCGCGTGGGCGAGGTCGGGGTCGCGCAGGGAGACGACGGCGTCGGCGAGGCCGCCGTCTGAGAGCGGGGAGGGGAGGAGCGCGGCGAGGGAGCGGGCCCATGCCGGGTTGGTGGAGCGGGTGGCGAGGACCCGCGCGAGCGACTCCGCGAGGGCGGGCGGGATCGGGTTGTGGCTGCGGCGACGGCCTGGGAGCGCGGTGATGCGGGGCAGGAGCCTGGACATGAAACGGTGAGGCGGCGGCCGCCGCTGCGGTGGGAGGAGGAGGCCGGAAGGGTGGAGGGAGGAGGTAGGCAATGCGGCGGCGCGGGACGAACTGGAGGCCGGCCTTGAACTCCAGAGACCAGCGGCTACTTTCTGCTGCATCTCGGCCGTTGAACGGCGAGGTCGTATGCTCCCCAGACTGCATCCAACCGTCCGCCAAATTTGCCTCGCAGCTGCCTCGTGGGGAGGTTTACTGAAAAGGTTTTGCTGAGTTTTTTTTTTCAACGGAGGCATGAGAATGGCACATCTATCAATTGAGGAGAAAATAATTTCGCTCAAAAAACATTTAAGGAGAAAATAAAGTTTTACGAGAGACCCACAAGCATAACATGGCAATTACTCGTGCTGAGTAATAGGAGTATGCCAGTTTCTTTGCTTCCACGGTAACCCAAAATTTAAATTCCTCTAAGACGATATTTAGAAAGATCGGCGACGGCGCACACATGTGAGTATGTGGTGGAACATCCTAACATTTCTCTAGTTCCAAATTGTTCAAAAGAAAACGTAATGAGGGAGGCCATAGCATATTTATTAGGGTTTTATTTGTCGGTTCTGTTATCTCACCAATCATTACCGAAGCTCTTGAGGTGGTAAGTGACGGTGTTCATGTGCACAATGTAAAGCGTGTTTGAAGATCGGTTTGGAGAGAATAACTCACGCACCCAAAGGGTGGCATCGGTCATGTGTGTGTGTGCGTGTGTGTGTGTGTGTGTGTGTAATATTAGGACCGTGATATTTGGCACACGTGTGCCATATAAGCAAAACTGCCACACCTCTACTTGTTTCATTTAGAGTATCACACGATTCTTCGTCCTTTGACCTCGCCTCCTTCCAAATGGACCCAGACTCGTCTGAGAAACCTGCTTCTCCCGCACATCTCGCGTGCCCACCTCTGAGAAAACTGCCACTTCTTCACGTCTACCACATGATTTCTCTTCAGGACAAAGATATCATGGCATTCGTATGC